CCTCTGCCATTCAGAGCAAATTTCAAACTCTGTTAGGGATTGATCAAAAGTGCAATGTCCAAAACAAATTTCAAATAGTTTTCATCAAGACACCCCTCTCCTCCTCTCTCAAAATTAAAAATGAAGAATGCTGATGGAATTCAATTATTAAACAAATACAGTGAAACACGGTTATAGCAAACACGCTTATTACGAATTGATGCTTACAGCGAAGTGATATCCATCCCCTTGACTTTATAATATATTGTAAACTTGACGGATATAACGAATTACGCTTATAACGAAACAAAATAGTCCGTCCCTGGCACATCGTTATAAGCGTTCTTACTGTAAATATTTATACTATTGAAAAGATCTTCACAACTTGAGCGGTCCTGGTGCTACTCTTTGCAAAGCCCCGAAAAGAAACGGGAACACTGACGTGTCTGATGTTCAAAAGGCACTTTTACTTCTAACTATTTGAATTTAGGTTGGTTGGTTTTTTTTTTTTTTTTATTTGTTAATCCGAAATTGATGTTTTGATCTGGCCCCATAAAATTTAATCTGATATGAAAAGGTTTTAGGAAACATGAATAAAAATATAAAACTAATTTGAGTGCTTCTACATACATGAATGTGATCTATGATTAAGTCTTCTGAATTTGATATTTTTGTAACAATAAACACGATTATCGTGTTTTTGTTAATCATAAATTTACTACTCTCTTGATAATTTCTCTACAACTTTGGTCATAACTGTAATTCAGAATCTAAAATAATTCTACGAAGGAAATTAAAGTAATATACTAAAAAGCATCACAAAGAACATAAATAAATGACTTACAAGCATTTTTTCCTGGTCATTTCAACTGCGTTTTCCCCCTACCTTTATAATTTTACTTTCACTTACCTGCAATCTGATTCTGTAAAGTATCAAAAATGTTAACTAAGAAATATATGTCGTCTTTTATAGTTTACTGGGACAGTAAGGGGTCATACACTCTAATCCAAATTTGCTTGCGGGAAATTTTAATTGGTCTGCAATCCTTAATTACTTATCATTTTGCTTAATGTTGATAGGGGTTGTTATATAATATTCAAATTCAATCATGAATTTACTAGAAATGCATACTTTTTTGCTTTAAAAATCATAATTGCATTATAACTATTGTCAAATCCAGTGAAAGTTGGTCACCTGAAATATCAATCATCTTGACAGTGGCTGACAGAATCAAATAAAAAAAAAAACTATTTCTTTTTCATGACAAAGACTTAATCAAAATTTTAAAAATGGTGCTTTCTTAGAAAAACTGAACATTTTTTTCAAAAGCTGTATGACATGAACAATTCCTCATATTTACATTTAAAGATTAATTTCAGGTCTTACATACAAAGAAAGGGCAAGTTATGGTAACGGCCGAATCTGGCCCGTTATTTGATGTAAAAATCAGAACACAGTTAAAATTGTGATAGTTTGTAGTTAAGAACTTAAAATGATGCTTGTTTTAAAACCAGCAACAATTTTGATTCAAATCCTACACAGAGGCCACAAGAGGGTGCAGAGGTAGGATATTCTCCCGAATTTCCTCAATTCTGGTCGAATTTCGTAAAATTTGAGACACTTTTCATTTCAAGAAACATAGTGCACAAGATTGCCTATCTGAAATTTTTATACATAAGATGCATTTGATACTAGTGTATGAAATATATAAATTTGATGGATAGGCAAGCTTGTGCTCTATGTTTTCTGAACTAAATGTGCTGTAAAATCGATGAAAGTTTGCATTAAAATGTGAAAATTCGGATATTGACATATTTTCCTTCCTGTGACGTGTGTGCATCCCATAGCTTAGAACCGATACTCATTTTGTGGCAGGGGTGACAACAGGTTTTGAATTGATAAACTATTGCATCGTCCTAAACGGCACCCCAAACCAGGGCCCAAAAAGTGGTATTAGTCTATCTTGTCCTTTCAACTTTAAAAAATGCATTTTTTTAAAAAATGAAATAACATACCGATTGTCAAACTCAGTGATTAATTGATTGTTTGTTCTTTAACGTCCCATTCGAGAATTTTTCATTAACATAGAGACGTCCTCGTATGCAAGTGAAGGGCTTTAAATAAAGACCTATACTCGGTAAAATTGTGAAATTCATGGCCCCTTTGTCCGGAGTTTTGGTGTTATGGTGGGGCTTCTTTGATCATAAAGTAAAAATGCAATGATTCTTTAAAAAAAAAATTCGTTGCTCCTGAATGTTTAGCAGACAAAATAAGTGCACGCTTATGATGAGCAAGGGTGTCTCTTTCCAAATCATAAAATTCAGGGATCTTGGATCAGGATTTTTGGTGTTAGGGTGGGGCTCTCTTGTTCTTATATGGAAATGCATTAATTCTATGAATATCTTCTTACAGGTAAGTATATAGATCTAATATACTTTATGAGTTGTTACTAAGTACCAGACTAACCATTTGTTGAACCATTATTTTCCTATTTCTCTTGTTTTTGGCAACATATCTCCATCTATTAGATTATTCTACTTTATAATAATCTGTGGATCATTTACAGGGTTGTATTATACTCAGGTAACCATTAAGGCCCTTGTGCCTTGTTCTGATGGATGGCCTTGACCAGTTGTCTCTTCTAACCCACGTATTTCATATTTGGGATCATGGCTACTATAAGGACTTGGTTGCTGGCTCTTTACATGGAGCTTTGGTTAAGATAAGGATAGTCCATGGCGGCCTTGTAACATTTCACCAAGCTGATTGCTTCTATTTGCCATGGAGGTGTTCTACAAGGCTAACTGAAAGTTCAAGTTCAAGCTTGCAGGACAAGGGCCTGGTTTATGTTATAAACTCCACTGATTTAAAGAATATTTGTTTGTTTGAAAACCTCGGTAAATCTGTAACTGTCAGGATCTTTATAGTATCTCCTGACTGTACAGTTAGGTGCCAAAATGGAGTCTTGTCAGAGACCAAACTTTGCAACGCCTAAATGATAGGATTTGACTGTTTGAAAGAATTGTGTACAGAAATCCCAACCTCACATTAAAATATGTTGTGCATCGTTTAGTCAATGCAATCTTAAGCGACGACACAGAATAAATATTATTTCAAATTTTTACTTTGTTGGTTGTTTGAGGTATAAGCAATGGTACAGTCTAGCAAATTTTGACAGATTTTTTCCGAAAAGGGAATAAATAAAACAAGCTATGATCATATATATCAGGATTTTACATTCATTTTGATTTCAAAATATGTTTAACGGATGGGTAATGCACACTAACGCTTAATTTGCGACTCTCATCGTCGATGACTTGCTGAGATTTTTGAGACTTGCTGATCTGTTTTTATATTCTTATGAAGCAGAATTAATTCAAAAACTTCTACACCAGAAGAGGAAAACACTAGCTGTGGCCTTCAATTCGACATTCAGATATATCGACGATGTTTTATCAATTAACAATAGTTATTTTCATTCATATGTCGACTCGATATATTATCCCAATGAACTTGAAATAAAAGACACCACAGAGTCTGCCACATCTATTTCATGTTTAGATGTTTTACTGACTATAGACGATAAAGGCCAATTAACAACTAAATTGTATGACAAACGAAATGACTTTCATTGTTTCATTTTCATTGTTAATTTTCCTTATTTTGTGTAGTAATATTCCACTTTCACTCGCTGATGGTGTTTATATCTCCCAACTTATTCGCTACTCATGAGGTTGCTCTGAGTACGATCAATTTTTAAAGCGAGGCAGGCTACTCACTGATAAATTGATGTTACAGTGATTTCAACAGCAGCCTCGTTTAAAGTCAGCATTTCGTAAATTTTATGGCCGTTATAATGACCTTGTTAGCAAATATAACCCATCACTGGTCGTTTTTTTGGCTGACTTGTTTCATACCAATTGTTAGGCCTTTTTTTTTTTTTACTGAATTGACTATTGATAGTTCCGTCTACCTGATCTATACAGGGCTCAAGGCGGGTGTTACCGGTCAACAGGGGATGTTTACTCTTCCTAGGCAACAAACCCATCTCTTGAATTCCCAGGGGTCCGTGTTTTATGCCCTTTTTACATATTTGTTTTGTTTATGGATTTTTTGAGATCGATCACTGTTTGTTGTCTTTACTTTTTACATACAAACGTACTGGAATTTAAATCTATCATCTACGTATTTGACGTGCGAAACATATATAGAAGTTCAGCAGTTTTCCATATTTGCCTTAAAATTCTTGGACTATTTAATAAATCATTGGTTCAGGAATTTTTGACGCACGTCATGCAGTGGCTTAGGTCACGAACTTATTACATGCATGATTTCCCACTTACCTTTATTAATTTTTTTTTTGAATTCTGACGAATTATGTGGCAGAACTACTAGTACATGTACATGTATGTATGACTTTACATTTTACAGCACATGAACATCACAACTACAGAGTATGACCTCATAATTCATTGAGAGCAAAGTAAGCATAAATTGGAAAGTGATTTGTTTTTTCTTCAAATTTTACATTTTTCAAATATAAAACAATAAAATGAATTTACTACTTTTCACGTGAATTTTTCAAATTTATAGCAGAAAAATTTGGAGCAAAACTTTTAAAATACAAAAAATCCATAGTAATTTTGTGCTGTTGTTTTTATACCATGTGCAGTAATTCTTAATTTGATAGATTGCATCCCAAGCCGACTTGGCGATGTGAAGTGCTTAACCCTGAATTGCGGTCAACTCTTCTATATAATCTCTATTACGGCGTCTCTTCATCAACTTGTAAATGCATTAGCTAAGGATCTTTTCCCAATAGACGAGATGGGATCAAATTTGGTCGTTGTCAGTCCAAATAACTAATCTCTCAAGCCGATCGTAATATAGCTGATATGCAGAAATTCTACCCTCTCTAGTATGCAAACTTTCCTCTGCATCACAGTCAGTCTGGTGCTATTGATTGTGGCATTTTTATTATAAGAATCCCTATTGCCTTTGGTCTCACATTCAGAACTGTCCAAGCCGCAAGTGGGTCAAGTCCAATTCGGATAGTTCCGACACTTTTTTTTTTAAGACACCTAAGATACTTGTGGCAATGGTGTATCGAGCGTTGTTGGGACTATTATTCATACTAGGACTAACAAAATCAGCATTCTGTTGCTCCTGTTACATGCCTCGTTATCAAAACTCCTTCTGCAATGCTGAATTTGGTGAGTATTATGTTTATATTTTTTTTTGTCTTTCATTCATGCAAAAGGAGGAGAAAATGGGTAAGTGATGTTCGGCATGCATTTCTGAAAAAAAGTCACATGTTCAATAGTCTATAAATGAAAAAAAAAACGGCAACAAAGCTGGAAAACAATTAAGTTTTAATGAAAATAATACCTCATTAACACGAAAAACTGCAGTTATATCTGGATTTACATAATATGAATTTATGAAATATTTTACAACGTATGAAGGGCAAGATATAAATAAGTTAAATTTGTGAAAGACAAACTGGTGTAATTACAAAATAATTATGATGATGATGATAAAAATAATAAAAATAAAAATCAATGAGAGTTAAATTATTATTATTATTTTTTTTTTTTTTTTGTTATTAATATATTTTTTTAAATGTGAAAATACCTTACATGTACCATGAAGGAAAGCATTACTATCTATCTATAGCAATAACTGCAAACGTCACTGCCGCGGAACTTTACTTCCGGGATGGCAGAAGTCTGGATTCTTATGTCAGGGAAAGTATCATCCCTAACAGAATGGATCGTCAAGAGTACAACTACTCCATTGATATACTTGAAATCTTTAAGGTAGGTCTGTTGTGTTCACTGTTGCTTTAATTATTGCCCAGCATCAAACATTTAAAAAATGCATTTCTTTTCAGGTGACGTTATAATTACTATATCTCTTTTTCAAATGTATATAAATGTGTCGTGTCGTTACCTATAACCACGGTACATTGAAATCTACAGGGTCAATATTTTTGCCATAAGAAATAATCTCCAGATCGGTTGTTACAGAGAGTATGACTTAGTGAATGACATAGTAGTGTACTATCATTTCCCTTCAAATCATGTGTTCGGGTTTATCGCAGTCGTCATTACTGTTCGTCAAAGCAAATTCTGTTGCTGCAACATCGATAAATATAATTTTCCGAAATTTGCGTCCTGTAAACCCAAATTACAAGGGATTACACACACATACACACGCAAAACACGCACACTCTATCTGCATTCAAAGAAACATCAAATTATGAAAGATGTCTAGTCTTTGAGTAGCTAGTCAGGTTACCAATAATTTTTATGCAAAAAGTACAGTTATTTCCAGGAAGGAAGAGAGACACAAAAATGACATATATAGTGTCATTTTATTACAATTATAAGGTGTAGTTGTACAACAATACGTGTAATTAAACAACAGAGGTACTAGTATATTTGAATATTCAGAAATCGTCCCAAACTAATCATGATAGATATACACAAGACAATCTTTCTAAACAATATAACATTTTTACATTTTATCAACTTTACTGATGAATGTCTTATGTTCTTAATTTTTTCCCTTACAATCTTGTATTATTGGCGGTACAGGGGGCGTTTTTCAATACAACAGCTTTGTAGATGATGTCTTTAATAATCAGTTATATCTTTTATGTTGTTAACAATATAACTGCTCAATTTCTTTAATTTTTAACACTATTACAGTTAAATATCTTATGTTCTTAACATTTTAACAGCATGTTATCTCATGTCCTCAACAGATAACGTCTTTATAATCTAATTTCTTTTAAAGTTTATGGATTAAACACAATTATAACAGCTCAAGTTTCTTTAATTTAATACATGTACATATAAGGTCATCAGATACTACATACATTTATGTATTTCTGCTATCATTGATGTTCATTCTATAAAATTTGAAAATCAAAATTAAAACACATTGGTAAAAAGCAAGTTTGATCTTTCAATTTCTCTTCTTTGTTTAGAGGACATCATTATAAATTATATACCTCCTAATTAGATGAAGTGAGGTGTACAGATACAAACAATACAACATTAAATCAAAATACAGTTATTAAAAATGATTTTGATATTTTTCACCACGGTATGAAAAAATATATTTTAACAAGTCTCTATATTCTTCCGAGTCGACATATTACACTAATATTTATAAAACACATGGGTAAAGGAATATACATGTACTTTTTAAATTGTAAAAATATTAAATGTACATAATCAGATATCTATAGAGAGAGCTTCTTCCTTGAAGTGGACATTTCTCAGAACTGATTCTGATACAAAATAAAAAAAAAACGGATAAAAGTGTATTTGTTTTTGAATACAAATACCCCGAGCCTTGAGGATTAATATAACCTTAAAAATAACACATAAGAGATATCCGGATGGAATAGTGCTTATTTTACTTCATTTGTGGGGAAAACTTAGTGTATTGTGTCAATTACAATCAAAAACTCTTATTTCACGTGATTTCACGTCAACAGCCTTGATTCCTCTTACCAATAACAAATATTGTCGTATCTGAGCAACAAGGGTTTTAGATTTCCAATCTATGTGACCTTGATTTTGACAAAATGACTTTTCTCTTCTCTTCTTCGGTGGGCATTCCTTTTTATAATATTTTAATGGTTTTGGTGTAAATTATATATAGTTTGGTGGTTAGAGCACCACAGTTATACCTTATGCAGAGTTTGATCAAAAAACGTATTTAACAATGTCTCATTTTCGAATTCTTTCAGAAATATTTTTAACTCTGAGGTAATGGACTAAACAAAAATGGAATTGATATGACATTAAAAGCAATATAGACGCTTAATATAAAGATATTAGTGTAATCTTGTGTGGTCTACTTGAGTTTTCCAAATGAAGGTAATTTTAAAAATCACAAATGGAAGGAACCAACAGCAGAGGTAAAGAATCAGTAAAATACTACAGTATACATCTAGATAGACTGTATGCTCTCTTCCTATAATTACAACACTCAAAGCTGTACTGCATCAATAGGAAGCCATTCTTATCATAACCATTGCAACTTTTAAGTGTTGCACGAAGGCTTTTGTATTATAAATATTAAACATGTATATAATCTGTGGACAACAAAATGGAACACGTTTTCATAAACTAGGTCCTAGTTTAAACATGTTAACAATGCTATTTTTGAATAACATTTGAAAATGTTTATCAAATTTAAACATTTGAAAATTTTTAAATTCAGACAGTGTATATAATGTACATAGCTGACAGTCTGCTAAAATCAAGAATGCCAGTCCGCCTCAGATATCATAATGAACAGTTACTATAAGGACTCCTTGTGAGTCTTACCAAATTAATGACGGCCAAAAGTACAGGGAGAGGCGCAGTGAGCAAAGGTTTGTAAAACGGAGCGAACCTCGAACAGAGACTGAACACTGAGAGCAAACTGAGCGGACCTCGACCAGAGTGCAAAACAGTTCTCTTTCCTGAATACCTAAACAAATGTAATCTTAGAGGATACCGTTGCTTTTTTTTTAACTTTAATACATTGTACTTTGCTAAGTATCGATTTGATATCCAAATGCCGCAAATATAAACATCCCAATACAACCGTTGAAAAGGCTATGGATATGTGAAAAGAAAGGCAATTCAAGCACTTCGTACAACAATCCGAAAATCCATGTCATTCCCGTAGCCGTCGACAGCTTAAAATAGATTTTCAAAATTTGTGTATCTTGAGAATTTGAAAAAGACATTTTCTTTTTGATACAGAAAATAGTTACAAAGACAAGGACAGTGTTCAGAAAGACCATTAGAGATATTGGGAGGATTAATGTAAAGAACTTAAGTATGCCATTTTCGATAAAACAGGTAGTTTTTGAATACCCAAGACACGATCCCCCAGATATTCCGTAACTTAATCGAATGTGAATTGCCACAACAACTAAGCCAAACGTTACATTTGCTACAAAATAGGTTAGGAAATTGTTGGACCGTCGACTTTTAAAGACACGAAAAGTGGTAAGAAACAGGTCAAAACATAAAGTGGTCATGAAACTTAATACTAACAGCCAAAGATAATGCGAGGCAATTCCAAGAACCATACAAACTGGATAAAGGTAAGTAAAAAATCTTGAAGCTGTATAAAATGTATTAGCCAGGAAAAGCGTGAAAGACAATGTCATTTTTATATTCAGTGGAGTGGGTAAGGTACTGGCAGTGTTCAGAGACACCAAAGATTTTGTGACAGTAAGAAGACAGCCAATAGATGACACAGACAGACAAATGACAGAAAAATAGGTTTCTGGCGAATCCTCACCAGTGGTCCTCCTTACATAGTCATTAATTATCCTTTTATAATCATCTAAACATAAAGCTATAGCAGTGTCTTCTTGTTCAAATTTTGCAATGTGGCTTTCAAAACAAACGTCGTATTCCGTGATGCAAATCTCGAAATCGCAATGATTAAGATGATAGCTAGCTGGTAGGTAAATCTTCGGACAATGTTGCCAGTACGTTACATTGTTTTCAACAGGAGGGGGTCTCTTCCTACGGAGAAAGTATTTCTTACGCCCAGGTTTACTAGACAGTGTTTTGAAAGCGTTACTATCAAAACTATTTAGTTTGATTTGTAAATGCTTCGATACAAGACTATCATTTACGGTGAAGTTTTTTGTAAACATCAACAAGAAGTTTGCCATGGCAAATATGTTTGTTACCCTGTCAGGAAGATAGCTTGCGACGAACGGATAGCACACTTTGTTAAACCTCGTGAGAAATGGTGAATAAAATAGGATGTTAATTTCCCTGGGAGAGAATCTGGGCTCATTTAAAAGTTCTTCTACCAGCTGTTTCTTTATCTTATCCAACAAAACAAAAGTTAGTGATCTTGTAGTACATACTGATGCGCGTATAATATAAGGTCCAGAGAAGTCATTGGAAATTCGACGATGACATTTTGGACCTGTTTGATCATATTCAGAATCACAAATAATTGACAGGCATCTTTTCTGAAATGAAAAAAATATACAATTTCTCAGAAAAAGGGGACGGTTTAGTATTTTCTTACAAAGGAAAAATACTTTGCATTTTTTTTTAGAATTTCAAATTTATTACCTCAACAACCAAAAGAAACAACTTTTAAATGAAATAAACGCGTTATAATGAGATAGATTAAGAGTTACAAATAAACATCCTGTTATACGTTTAGTCATTTTTGTTTCTCATAAAACAGAGTAATAATATTGATAGTTGATCATTTTTTCAAAAAAGTGTTGCAATGTTACACAATACCTCATTATATTGGAATCAGGAGCAGCTATAAATTACAGTTAAATTCTGGATTCTCGAACGCAGTAAGAATGACAAAAATTTCGAGATAATCAAGTGTTCGATATAAGGAAACCTTATCTCAAATTCAGTCTGTAAAAGGACCTTTAAATCACTTTTCAAATCTTTGATTAACTTAATATTTTTGCTTTATATCCCTATCATATTTAAAAACAATGAAATTATACCTATAAAAAATGTATCATTATTCATGGTCCTTCAGTTCAAACTATATTTTGGGATTGTTTTAGAAAGTATCATTCCCTTAGTTCTAATTATTTTTAAGTATGAGATGATTTTGCATTTTTATTATTTGAATGTTCGGAATAACTAAGGTTAGCTATAAATATACTTTCGTATTAAAAAGGTGCCTGAATATGATTAATTTTTACTTCCTTTTCCAAGTGTGTCAGAACCAGAATATCGAGTCTAATTTAGAGGATGTTGATATCAGATTTTTGAATTCCTTTAGATAAATTAAAAAACAGAATTACAAATTTAATGTTCACAATGAATAAATTTGCTAAAACTTAATACTATCCATGATTCTATGATATACTGAGTATATAGATAGAACAAGATGTGTTTGTGAAACACTGATGCCCCCGTATGGCAGCTTATGGCGAAGGTTAAAGTTTCTCAAATGCAAGTCAAAATCCAGGCCTAAAGATAAAAAAAAATGTTAAATTTGAAAGCCCTAGCTGCAACTGTTCAAAGGTTATGGCGAAGGTTAAAGTTTTTTTAAGGTAAGTAAAACATCAAGGTCAAGGTCAAAGTTGTTGGTATCCAAAGGAAGGCCTTGTCACAAGGATTACATATGTAAAGTATGAAAGCCCTAGCACCAACCATTCAAAAGTTATGGCCAAGGTTAAACTTTTTCGAAAGTAGGTCAAAATCCTATGTCAAGGTCAAAGGGTCAAAATGGTTGGTATCCATAGGAAGGTCTTGTCACAAGGATTACATATGTGAAGTATGAAAGCCCTAGCACCAACCATTCAAAAATTATGGCCAAGGTTAAAGTTTTTCAAAAGTAGGTCAAACCCCAAGGTCAAAGGGTCAAAGTGGTTGGTATTCAAAAGAAACTGATGTCACAAGGATTACACATGTGAAGTATGAAAGCATTAGTATGAACCATTCAAAAGTTATGTCGAAGGTTAAAGTTTTTCAAAAGTAGGTCAAACTCCAAGGTCAAAAGGTCAAAGTTGTTGGTATCCAAAGGAAGGCCTTGTCACAAAGAATACACGTGTGAAGTTTGAAACCCCAAGCACCAACTGTTCAGAGGTTATGGCCAAGGTTATAGTCTCATAGAATTTTGCAAAAGTGGGTCAAACTCCAAGGTCAAGGTCAAAAGGTCAAATATGATGGTACCCAAAGAAAGGTCTTGTCACAAAAAATACACATGTGAAATATGAAAGTCATAGCTACAACCAATCAAAAGTTATGGGCAAGGTTAAAGTTGACAACAGACAGACAGACAAACAGACAAACAGATAAACAGACAAACAGACAGATAGGACAAAAACAATATACCCCCGGGATCTTTCGATCCGGGGGCATAAAAACGCTGCCAAGAACTTAACAAATGTGCTGCAAACAATTTGTCCTATTGGGGAAAAAAACTCAATATACATTTTTATAATAAAATTCCATTGCAACAGATTTTTGCATATTCTTATTTATATTACATTAACTTAATAAGTTTTGAAACGTTTTTTTTACTTCCAATGCATATTAGAAGCCTTTGACAGAAAGAACTACATTTCGACTAAAGAAAACATATACTTACGCTAAAAAGTAGTAAATATTACTGTATATATATACACGGAAATTTTTCACCCCGTTTTATTTTCGCCCCTTTTGCCCAACTATACTAAAGGGGACAAAATTATTTGCAAGTGCGAAAGGGAGAAAATAACCCTGTATACAGTATACATTTTTATTAGAATTCGATCGTTTAGATAACTATACATGTACGTTGTAGTGAAATTGGCAATGCTTTCAATCTCTAACATTGAACACAGTGTAAAGTGTACTCACCAGGACCGGGCTATATACCATCTCAGATGGACAAAGGCTTTCAACGCTATAATCATGATACGTCTTCTGTTCCGAATAGCTTAGCAATGAAGGGAATAACCCAAGGGTTTGTCGGTAAAAATCGGAGATATATTGGGATTTTTCTACTGAAGGGCCGCCAATTATCGAGATTGGCAGTGTATATTCCGGAGAAAATGTATTGCACATCGCGCAGTATACGTTTTTGTATGCCTTTAAATTAAATAAATAGATAAGTAACTGTGGCATTGTTTCGCATGCCCATTTTAATCTGCCATCAAAATGATCCCATTGGCCTGTTTCATTACATTTGGAAATAGATGGTAATGTACATGTCAAGTTTTCTTCCAAAAATGAAGGAGGGTTAAAACGTATGATAAATTTTTGTTTATACGATGCAAGAATGAAATTGGTTTGTAGTCTATTCAATTCTAAATAATTGTTTGTCACTATAACCCTTCTCCATAGATAAAGGTTTTCCCGTTTTTCACCGAAACACTCTGCACAATAAATATTTTGGTAACTATCATTTGTTTTAATTGAAAATACCGGTATATGCAGCTCCTCGCTTTCAAGCATTTCTCTGGGTAAAAATTTCCTGCACCTTCGCCATAAATTATTTGGAGGATATTCCTTTGGACATCTTGCCACTATCCAGTACCTTTCTTCAAGCACTATTTCTAATGGTTTTCCTGTTTTATCATCATGAATGGCACCCAATGACGTTTTCATACAAGAAAGAGATGCTTCACTGATCTGGATAGGAGCGTTGGTATTTTTAATATCGTGAAGAGTTATGTTTTTTTGAGCTATGTATTTGGATACACAACATTCAGATTTCTTTTCACAGTCATTTGCACAACTACACTGAGGACAAAGAGGGGTCTTCCCATCAAATGGAAAAGAATAATTTTGGTAAAATGCACCATGGTCGTAACACAGTAGTTTATTTGGACAAAATGTCAGATAGCTACTGATGAGGAATTTTGTGAAGTCATTCTGAATGACTTGAGTATAATTTAAAACTCTTGTTCTGTGCGCGAAAAAGGATATTGTTTCCGGATCGGATTGGTTCTTCCTTTTTTCAATGAACTCACGCGTGTGTGCGGGTATGATAGAGGAAACATTCAAAGTTCTGCATCCATGCCAGAATATGCATACCTGTCGGAAAAATAAAGTAATCTGAATTCTTGAAAGATAAATTATTGTTTTTACAAATAAGAAAAATCAATGTCGAGGATATTTCTTTTCAACCCTGTGATAAAATATCTGCATTGCATACAGGATAAATTTCTCTAGATCTGTGGTTTCATTTGAGATAGCGCCTTGATAGTTTAAAATCCGAAATTTATTGTAAATGCAGCAGAGTAGTCGAAATTAATCAAATAATATTATGTAAAGAGTGCAGCGAGTTGAAAACGGAAAGTAAGCAAAAAAATGTTATTGAAGTTGACAATGTGAATAATTTCTTGTTGTTCATGATACTGATATTTTCTAATATAGATAAAGAAATGTTGCTAAATTTTAAAATGTTTACAAAGTTTCAATATATATTTCATTTTGCCTTATACAAGAGCAATAAATTATCATTGAAATCAATTATTATATATATTTAATATACATACCAGAAGAGTTGTCCCAAATAAATTTGTAATTTTCATGATTGTTAAACAATCTGAGATAAAAGTTCTGATTCTTAAAGATATAATAATAGCCATCATTAAATAGAGGTACTTATTAGGTTATAGGAACATTGTGTATAATTCCTAGCTGGAAACATCGTGTTGAATTCGATACTTATGATAAAACAATAATATGATACCAATGTATCCAACTGTTTGAGCACTTCTCGTACGTAATTTCAAAGCTCTCTGAAACTGAGAAGGCCTTCAGATCTAGGGTTTCACAAAAACACGTCATTTTATATTTCAAAATACAGAAAAAGTAAGAAATAGGAAATAACCTGTAGAGAAACGGAAGTTTAATAAGAAAATAACAGTGATCACACAAACAGAATGCCGGATAGTGAGAGTATCTATTGATTTTACAGACATTGTCAGCTCTAGGTGCGCCGCTACATCTGAACTGATGCTAAAGAACTACAGCAATGCATTGGGGGGGGGGGGGGGGGGGCGTTTCCGTCATTTCAATAAACTAAGGAACAATATACTTTTCCATGTGTACCATAAATTTATGACATCTATGTTTCTGTAGGAGAGAATTAAAGTTAAGAAAATTTGATCACATTCCAGTACACTGCATGTATCAACAAGTCATATTTCAAACCTGTGCATATAAAACATTATAAACTTAATTTTGATCAAATCACATGGCAACAAAATTGGAGGAAAGGCTGTTAACAACACAATTTTAAGAATTTTTTCTTGTGTTACCGAAACTCTGAGTAAAAAAATAGTTTTTCACAAATTTTTATTATCATATACAGATTTTCAATTGCAATTTTCAAGTTTTTCTCCGCCTTCTTTCACCAGACAATAAAGTATTGTATTTTAAGAATAGGGTTCAATTGTGTAATTACTCAATTTTTGTCTGTGAATTTATTAGTTATTGTTAGTTTTATTTACGTTTAAATTTTCATTATTTTATGACATTGAGTTCCTACAAACCTACGCTTGTCTACGGAATTTAGGGACAACCCTCGTACAACGTATGCATATGGAAATATCTAAAGTATTTTTTCTGTATACATTGTAATTTTCATATACAGTTGTCCTCAAATAGAGAGCAAACAAACATTCTAAACATATGATGAAAATGTTAAATTAAAACAATTCTGTAGAATCAGAATTTTTTTAACAAAGTAAGTTTTCAAATGACCTATGACATGGTATGCAAGTTTACGTGTTCCATTTATATTGAAGAAGCAGTTGTCTATGTATGTTGCCAAATAGGCTGAACTTTAATTTATCGTGAGGAAGTATTGTGAAGTGCTGAAAAGTCGTACGTTTTGGTGCTATTGATTTTAGAAAAAAAAAAAATGTTATTTCATATTTTAACACGTTGAATATGCTGTTGTACAATACTCCTGAATTTTCTCCTTCACTACCGTTAATATTTTTGGAAGGAATAAAAAAAAAAAGAGGTTCGGTAGAGCATTTACTAGAACACGCTATATATGTTTGAAAAGATTTTTCGAAGTTTTGGAATCTAGTATAGGTATGATAATTTCAGTTAGGTTGTTGAAAATATTAAGAATAGTTTACACTGACATATGGTTTTGAAGATTTTCATCTTTAGAAAGGAAACTATGAATATAAGTTGGATTATCATTTGTAAACTTATATAATATATCGGACTTCCTCTAAAATGCAATTGTAATAATAAACCTTACAAACAAAATCTTTGTTGTTACCTGCTTTATCAGCTGGAACAATTACATACTGACTATTTAATCTATGGAATTCTTTAGTCACTTTTGAATTATTAAAGTCAGAAGGATAGACTGTTTTCATAACACTGTTTCCGTGTAAAACGAGATCTCAACATCCGCCTTATACATTTAATCAATTTTGACAAAGTGTCTTCTTTTTCAGATTTGACCATTATCTCTGACAATGGTGCATCAAATCATGCTTATTTACAGCTATTTTTATGTAGATTGTGCCATAAAAAACATCAACAACTAACCTTTTTCATTGTCCTTGACCATTGGTAAGTGATAAAAAAAGGTGAAGATATCGAACAATGATCAATCTCGAAGAAACCTACAAACTATTCCAATCTGTAAACAGGGCATAAAACGTAGACGCCGGGAAATTTCATAGGTGGGATCAGGTTCCTATGAGGAGTAAGGATCCCCTGTCGACCGGTCACACCCATTGTGAGCCCTATGTATTGATCCGGTAGATGGAATATTTCGTAGTCAATTTTCATATAAAAACAAAGGCCTAACAATTTGTACGAGATATGTCAGACAAAATACCAACCAAAAATAGATTTTTTTGCTAACAAGTTCATTAAAACATCCATCATAGAATTTACGAAATGCTGACTTTAAACGATTTTTTTTAAATTCCTGTAACATCAACTTATCTGGCAGTAGCATGCCTCGGTTCAAAAAATTGATCGTACTCAGAGCATACTCCTGAGTAATAAATAAACACCATATGCAGTTGATAACAGAATATTACTACATACATATTAATAAGGAAAGGTAACGATTGAAAATGTGGAACCAACATTACGACCCATCGGGCTATTGCAATAAATAATTTATCAATTACAAGAACTGAATACTTTTTATTAATTTGTTAATAGGCCATACATATAATTCCTTAGATAGTACGTTTGTAATTTAAGTTGAGCATTCTGGCCAAGGGATGTTGTCTCTTTGTTTGGTTTTTAGAAATTTTGGATCTCTAAAACAATATTTGATTTATATATGCTTTATACATTAAATGTCTGGATCTGTAATGACAATAGCTTACGTTGCTTTATTGTTTTGTAGAGGTCTGCATCTTTTGAGGTGGCAGACAAAGATTATGTGACATCTGATGCTTTTGACGGGTCCTGTGGTATTGAACTGTCTTTGGGAACTGTATACTATATGACAGGTAAGAACCACGTTGATGAAAGGAGTTAACTTGTCCTGCCATGGTTTGGATGATTTCTTGTTCTGTAAATTTTATCATCTTTAAATTTTGGACAAAAAGTGGATAGAGTGTAGATTTTATTTTAAAGCTTCAAAATTCAAAATCAAATCGATTTGGCTCTTTTCAGTTGGCGATATGAAAATGAATGATAATTTGTTAAAAGATATTTCTTTCATATACAGACAATGCCTCGGAAAACATCTTGGCAACATTAAATGAAAATATTTTTTTTTTTTACAAATCTAAATCTACATTTGTTAATGTTAGATAAAACTTCTCTATAGTGGATAGATATAATATTAAACTCAAACGATGTGGACATAAAATTTGAAAATACAGATTTGAATGGTTTAGGATATATCCGAAATAACCATATGGTAGTGTCTTCCTGCTTCACAACTACTCCATTTTCTGAGCTGAAGGCGGGGCAATTGGCTGGAATCCGAGGATTATATTCGACTAACTGTAAATGCAGGGTAAGTTAGCATAGGTACATGTATTTTCCGAGTTAATCCATACAGACTCTTAAGCATATATTTCAAACTGATTCGTTCAAGTTTAAAGATACTAGCTTATTCATGTCTTCTGTTTTGGTCTGTTTTCGTTGTATGTGACATTATGAAACAATTCTTCTGTGGACATTTTGCGATTGCAACAGTTTGAAGCACATTTAATAAATTTTGGTGGTTCGATTTTTGATCTCTTTCTTTCAAAATTTAGTTTCTAGTACCATAAAGTAGATTCTTAAGAGTTTTTGTTATAAATTTACAAGTAAAGAAGATAAATAGATTTTCAGTATTGTGCAATCAGGTTTAGGTGACAAAAAGATTAAAAATATGAATGAAGATTTTTTTTTTCTTGAGAAACACAAATTATAGGACTACAATGCAGGGCTCTAATTGGCAACTAATTTAGTCGCCATGGCGCCTAAAAATTATGATTGGCGCCTAAAATTTTCTTATAAGTCGCCAAATTGGCGACCATTTTAAATTGACTTGGTGATCGTCAAATTATTGAACTTTAAACATTTTCAAATATTTTTTTATAAAGAGCAGAAAAGAATTTTAAAGGTTAGCAATGGACGTGTCTCTATAATGACTAATATTAGTTTTTAAATTGGCGCCTAAGAAAAAATTGCCTTGCGACTAAAAATTTGCATTAGCGACTAATTTTATTTTATAAGGAGCCCGTTGGCGCCTAAATTTTAGAGGTCACATAGAGGCCTGCAATGTAGCATCACGAAAAATTAATACTTTAAGGCCAAGAGTTCAGTACATGATATGACCACGATCTAGCAACATGAACGGAAAAGACACATTTCCTAAAGAACAGCATGTCTTTATCCTACATGGTCGTTCATATGCAATGTAGAATACATTTAAATAATTCATTTGATTTTGATAGAGATTCAGCTTAAAATTTTTCATTACAAAAATCTTACTCTTCAAAACAAGAAAACTACCTATCGTTTAACCAGTATGAAGCTTTTTATATTATAAATTCCAAATAATTCCTTTATGAAACCATTGTCTCGATCGAGGTCAAAGAAAACCATTATGGATTACTCAACTTTCCCCCATCCTTTAAAAACGTATTCCTGCCCAAGAAGAAGGTCATGATCTCAAGTATTTAAATCATTCATCATTTTATATGACTGTATTCATGTATAGAGTACTGAGGGACACTGTCTTTGTCTGCATGATGGTCAGTCTGTATTTAAAGGTAAATGAAATGCTGCTTGGGAGATGGAAGAGCAAGCGAGTGTGCCACGCAGAATGGTATTCTCCGTGCGAGGAGCAGCAAGCTGTTTGCGTCAAAAGAAGAGGTGGAAAATGTGCATGGCGCTTTCTTGAACGGAAACCGTGTCCTTTAGATAAATAATTGGAAATGTAGTATTTCTGGTATCTGTGCCATGACGGAGAGGTCGGCATCTCATGACGCTCTTTTCAGGCTTCGTTTGTGTATGTGATAAAGAACTGAGATGTATTTTATAGTAAGATTTTTACTTGATATAGAAAACATTGTTTAACACTTATAACAAACCAATAAGTTCTTGAAAATAAAACTCTTCTTTTATGTATTTTTGTGATTAATTATTTTTTAAGAAGATTAGTATTAACTTAAAATTAGTTAAGTTCATGGTATGGGTAACAAACATAGTGAAAACATTACAATAGGAGGGAGGAGGGTTACGTCATCACATATTACTCTGGTCTACATCATTATTTTTACTATTTAGCATTAGATAATTCATCCGAAAAAATACAACTCAAGCATGATTTCATGTTCAAACTTATAAGCCAGGCTTCTAAAAATCTGAAATAATTCTGTTTTTAGAGAAACTAGCTATATCCTTTCTAGGAAGGATTTTTGAGGTCAAAATATTCATCAGTTTTTATTGTACCATGTTTAAATTTGTTCTTGCTACGTCTAACAAATTTCGGCACAGATCGAGTAAGTTTTTGAATGAATATCATTAATTCTAAATGCTAACATCCATCTTTCAATAGAAAAAGGAAAATTTGTATCTCAGTGAGAGTTTAGTAGATCTATATAGTTTTTGTAGATTAAATGTTAATGTTGGTGCAAAATTATATTTTCTAAATCCCACTAGTACTGGAAGTATAATAGAAAAATAAAATCACTAAATATTTAAGAATATTATGATACTTGGAAAAAAAGTTTTAAAAGTGAGACATCTAAATCAACATATTAAATAACTTTGTTCTGATTTAAAAAAAAAAAATCGCGTCTATTTAGTACAAAGGGCTCACGGTAAAGATGACTGTTCGACAGGGGGACCTTTCGCTTCCTAAGCATCTGATCCCACCATGGTGTTTTCGGGGTTTATAGCATGTTCTCGATGAAATATGTGGAGAATCGCTCATAGCATTTAAGAGAAAGGTCACTGTCGTTATCTTCAAATTTTTATCATGCCAGTCGCGGTAGCCTAGTAGTAGGGCTCTTGCTTCTTGATCGGGGGGGGGGGGAGGAGGAGTACGAGTTCGATTTTCAACCCGGCGCCGCATCATTTAAGACAAACGCATAGGTTAGTGACTGTTTCTTCGCCAAGCGCTCGGCACTAGGAGTCAAATTCACGGGTCTTTCTGTTATGACCTTAAGAACCGAGGTCCCTTGCCACGGTAGGCTTTGGCAAAATGAAGAAAACCACAATGTTCAATGACCCTGAGTGCCGAGTTAAGTTCTAACTTTGAAACCGGACCTTTCACCGCTATACGGTGAAGTCTCAAATGAGTGAAAAATTCTGGCAAGGGACGTAAAAGAGCATTAAATCAATTATTTATGAAGGGGTAGTATAAAATTTGTTAATAGTTTTTCTTTAAAAAAAAAAAATGAGGAAAACAAACAGTGATCAATCTCAAAAAACATGAAAAAATACAAATTGTGAACAGGGCATAAAACAGGGACCCCTTGAAAATCCAAATGTGAGATCAGATGCCTAGGATGAGTAACCATTGCCTGTCGACCGGTAACACCTGCCTGAGCCCTATGTATTGATCAGTTGGACGGAATATTCCGTAGTCAAATTTGGTATAAAAACAAAGACATACAATTGGTATAAAATATGCCAGTCAAAATACGACCCAATCATAGGATATATTTGTTAACAAGTTCATTATAACGATCATAGAATTTATGAAATGCTTACTTTAAACTAGGTAGTTGAAATCTCCGTAACTTCAACTCATCTGTCAGAAGCCTGCCTCGGTTTAAAAGTTGATCGTACTCGGAGCATGCTCTCGATTATCGAATAAGTTCGGAGACATAAACACTTAATGCAGGTGATATGTGAATATTACTACATAAATATTGCTAATTGATAAAAGGACGTCGATATATCTAAATGTCGAGTTGAGGGCCACAGCAAGAGTTTTCTTTTTCTCCTTTAGAAGGTTTTAAATAAATTATGTTTTCAAGGAATATAAAATTGGTCGGCTAATGAAGGAGCACAATTAGTGCCCATCGATTTCCAACAGCTTATTGGAAAACCTGGTCTTCAAAGACTGCACAAATATTGTCAGTGAGGAATTCCTGCATCCTTTTCATAACAATTTCATAGTACTCGTGTGTAGAATCAGAGTGATTTTTAACAAAGTTGTTTTGTCGATGAACCACCACAAGATATGATTATTTCCGATTCCTTTTTTATTGAAGAAACAATTGCCTAAGGCTACCTTTTTTAACCTATCGTGTGGAATTTTTGTATAAAGTATGGAAAAATTGGGTACTTGTAACTATGCTTTGAAAAAAAAATCTTTTGAAAAGTTTCTGATTTTAAAATTTCTAAAAGTTCTTTGGTGTTTCTGAGAATCCACGTTTGATTATACCACCTCTAAAATAAAATGTAGAAAAGAATTCAACTTCATAGTTTTGGCGAGGAGTAACGATAAGGGCTTGGTGGAGCACTTGTTGGACCCAGAAATATAGGTAGGATATATCTAACTCTTTTGTTGACTGGAATGTTAAAAGTATCAAAGATTGAGAAGTAATTTTGAAGAAAACATCCTTAGAAAGTAAACTGTAAGTATAACTATTAAGATTTCCGGTTGTAGAATTGAAAACAAGTTCATCTAAATAACAGTTATAATAATGAGCCTTACAAAGATAATATAGTTACAAACATTGTCTGCTGGGACCATAACATATATATATATATATATATATATATATATATATATATATATATATATATATATATATATATATATATATATATATATATATATATATATATATATATATTGTTGTAATCTAATTAATTCTATTATCACCGCTGTTTTAGTTAAATCGGAATGACAGAAAAAGTTCGGGGCAACATGTCTCATCTGCAATCAAAATTATTTGAAGTTGACTGAAAAATAAAGTCGATATTGATTTTTTACTCACTGATTATGTAATGATTGATTGATTGACTGTTACTGTTTAACGCCGAGTCGGAGGTATATGTAATGGATATATAAAGTAAAAGCATGTACAAAGTATGATCTATACCTCCTAATAAGATCTTGAAAAGACACAAGTTCTTAAAAATGTTACACTTTTGAATTTACTTGCCTTACGTTTGTAGAGGAAGTTGCTCTTAAAGTACCCTAGTTTTATTTCAGATTTTATCTTTAAAAAAAAAAACTGTGATCCAAACAAACAAGAGAGCTCAGAATTACATGTAATTCAAAAGTTTCCCGTTTTTCCAATTTATGAATGTACCACTGAAGCTTTGTTAATAACAATAATTAAATCAACATAGTTCATAATTTTTTTTATAAAGAAGAGAGCCTGATAACCTTTAGTCTTGCTCTATTAAAAATACATTTGTGAAATACTAACATAAGAAGCCCATGGGCAACATGCTTACCAGAGCTTTTATATTCAATTTTATACACTGCCATGTATACATGTATTTTTGTAAATTACGGAATATAACGACTGTTGCTACTTCATTAGTTATCTAGGTACAAAGGAGAAAAAATTCAAAGGCAAACACTTACGTATGGGTATTATAATTTTATGACAGCATCTATATATATTTTTTAATTTTAACTGTTCCAAAATATTTTCAAAACACCTAACTGTTGATAGGAATTAAATTAGTGTTACGCAGGGACACAATGTTCAGATAAACATATATGTAGCTCCGATGGAAAAACATAGCACACATTGTACAAAGTTTTGATTATTTAATACTTCAGCATTGAATGATTAAATGTTTTCTGCTATAATTCCTATACAGGAAATGTGTGCAAATCTGTATTAAAGAATGTTTGCATATTTTGTGTAATTATGTTTAGTTATACTTTATATTGCACAACACAAGCTTCATGATTTAAAAAAAAACTACAATATACATGAAAACGCCTATTTAGGTTTTTCTTGTATATCTGGGGAATTATAATACATCTACATACATATGTACATTGTATTTGTACCAAATTTTATATATCTAAATGAGAATTTCTGTAATTATTCAACAGAAATGGATATGATTTTTCTTCCTTGGCTGCGTTTTATATAAATACAAGTCCATAGTAAAAAGTGACAAATTCTACAGTGTATATACAGAAATCATAAACTCACATTACTGGATTTATAAACATAAAGAAAATCAGCCATCAAAAATCAAAATCTTTACTTTCAAACAGAAACTGTTCCTGGATGACTGACTCTCAATCCTTGTAAGGAATAAAAGGTCTTTATAATAAAGAAAAACGAATATTCGTCATATTTTCATGCACAAGCTGCCCTGAGATTTTTTTTTTTTCCATTTTTGCAATAGAGATATCAGCATCACTTTCCTCGATGCTTTTTCCGGAATTTTCCTTTCCATTGGCACTTATTTGAACGGTAAACACACACAGCATGATTAACATAACAATCAACACCAAATAGTTTGGATTTCCTTGATGTGCATCCACGAAATCCTTTATCCCTAGGGCTTAAATGATACGGACTGTCAGTTCCAATATCAGCCTGAAATAACATGTCAGGTTTTATTATGTAATAACACTTGAAAGAAGTAAAGTGAATATACATGTTGTATCTTCATGGAATATAAACATGCTGTAAAGGAATATGTTCTCAAATTAGCTTGTATAATCAATAATTGTTTACTTAATCATTTTGATATTTTCCACGTTTTGGTGACCTTATTGTACTACAAGTTGCATTGTTATGGTACCAAAGAAATTCGGGTTCTTTTTCTGCAAACTGTAAAAGAACTTTTTAATACGTTTACCAAAATTGTAATGTTCAATAAACTTCAAATGCAATTTGATATACTAAAGAAGAAACAACAAAGCAAACAAAATACTGACCAATGACTTCGCAATGTTTTTATCACCATAAAATTTTGTATGGAGAAAATATCTAAGAAGACTTAATATACAGATATTTCTTTATTTGTTTGTGCAATCAATTTTCCTTCCGGAAGTTGAATAAAACTTGAATGGTCAAAATATGAATGGTCACTCACAATGCAGCGACAGTTCCTTTTATAGAGTTTACGCAGTCCAAGATGTTGTATGTCACTCAGGGTATGTGTCATCTTCATCCAATTACACTTTGTCATCCTCATCTCATTCTCAAAAATGACACCTTACATGGAGGAAACAGAAAAAAATAGGCGCTGAATGTGAATAACGTTAACCAATGCACAATATAGACCGATTAGTAAGGAAGTAAGCAGGAGAAGATGAAAGTTTATTGTATATACACTGAGACAAGATTTAATCAGTGACTGTAACATCGCACTAAAATGGGCACCAGAGGGAAGAAGAAAGCGTAGACGACCAAGAACAACTTGAGCCTTATAGTAAAAAGGGAGAGGGATGCAGTCAATGAATGCAGCAAAAAGAGCAGCAGCCAAAAGAACTGATTAGGCACTCTCTGGCACGAGGAGAATCGGTGATGAAGGTGAATGCAATATATATAATATTCTTTCAATAATGTTAATGAAACATATTCTTACTAGATATGTGTTGCGGTGCCAATATCATTTTTGTAAAATTTAATCTTAATTTCTGTGCCATGAACGTATTCATAACTGTAATATTTTTTTAATAGTCTAGGTTTGTTCATTCTAATGTTTATTTAGGAAAAAACATATAATTGTGTGAAAAAGATAGCGAACAAAGTTACATTTACCTGCCTCTGCACCTGTGTAGAATGAGAAAGACGTAAATACATTTTTTTTTTATCTAGTTAGATTATTTAAATTCCCGTACATTTCAGTACTTTTATGTAGGGGACATATTGTAGCCATTTTCACACCTGTGTTTTTGATAAAATTATTTGATACATTAGAGTAAAGGAAAATGTTCATTCATCTTTCTCTCTTTGCAGTTTAATGGTTTTAAGTCTGATGAATTAAAGCTACATTAAACATCTGTATATATACTTTTTATGCAATCGTCTTACTTTATTTAAAACATTTTGTAAATTGAAGGTTGTTTTTGTGTTCAGTATTTTGATTTTCAGCATTTTTTCCCTTTTAAAAATGAAATATAAATGTATGAAATTGAAAATGTGATTCAGTGCAATTCTTGAAATAATGAGAACTATAAATTCTTGTTTCTTCAAACCAGGATGGAGAAAAGTAAAAAAAAAAAAGAAAGAAAAAAAAAAGAAAAGAGTTATATAAATTAAAGAAAAGTGATATCTGTGTCCAGAATGTAAGATTTTGAAGGAAAAAATATTCAGAGATGTGCTGTTAGGGTTTTAGTATCACATAAACAAGGAGTCTGGCCCCAAGAGCATAAACTGAAAATCGACTTGAATTATAGTTTTGTTTCTGATTACCCTACAGAGATTTTCTTTAGCTGGTGTAAAATTTGGCGTTTTGCTTGCTCAAATATATGCCAATACATGTAAAATGGCAAATAAGCCATATAGGTTTAAATATTTGAATTCATTTATCTGCATTAAGTTTTTGATAATTCATAACAAAATGAAACCACAGTTCATTCAAAGGTACAGGTGAAGTGTCCTCATGATCGACCATAGTTTCTTAACTAACATTGTTCATGTGTCATGTTTAGTATGCTTAATTGCCTTTCACAACCTTTTTGTGAACAAAATTTGCTACAGAACAGTCAATTACCTTTGTTCTTAATTTCAGTTGATGTCATGTATTTTACATTTGTGTTGACAGTTCAAGTATGTTTGACACGGATCCTGTGTTGTAAAATGCTTGTCGAGTCTTTTTTCGAAAATAGACATTGTTTATAATGTATTTCCAGTTTGAGCAGATCCTTTGTTATACTACAGCAATATCTCAGAATTGTGTGTGTTTTGTTTTGCACTCCAGTCCAGTTTCATTAATAACTGTGTAACCTTAGAATATTGCATGTTTTAGTTTGTTTAAAACTAGTTTTATTTGAAACTGATTCAAAAACTGTAAACAAATTGTTACAACAAATGTATCTTTAAGTTTGGTATGCATTTAAAGATCCTCTCTCTCTCTCTCTCTCTCTCTCTCCAAACTTACCCATCATGATATACTTCCGTCCTATTCGAGGTCTTATGTTGCAGCCAAGTGGAGTGTATATCTTCGTATGGTCGATATTTTTAAACTTTCTTTCCCCCTGATTAGAAAAAGGCATTGAACATTTAATGATTTTGATCAGATCAATGAGTATGACCATGAAAATGTTTGATAATATAACACCAAATGATATAACTAAAACAAAGTTTCTGTAATCCAGTTCTAACTTTGTATATACATGTAATTAGCATGACATATTTTTCATTAAAATATTTTTATATAGATTACTTGTAACTGATATACAATAAATGCCTTATCTAGCTGTTTCATTTTATGTATAAGTAACAAGTTATTTAATTATATGCCTGTGTTAATTTAATTGAACTTTCTTCGATTCATCAGTATTTTGAATCCAGATCAAGAATTTCTTTTTGAAGTAAAGAAACGAAAATTGAAGAAAAGAACATTTTTGTTTTAATAGGTTTGTTTAATCATTTCCGATCGAGTCTTAAAATGGAATATACATCTGTTCACAATATGTATGAACGTATAAAGAATCTAGTGTCCCTGTATTCCCAAAAATCTTTGTATGAAGACTCAGCCAGGGAAATGTTTTATATGATTAATATTATCCCTAAGTATTTTTCATATATATTCATATTTTAGGTAAACTGAGTTACTCAGGTGACCTATTGCTACATGTATATGTTTTCGTCCGTCGTCGAGCGTTATTTTTTAAAACATTTTTAGCTTCTTCTCAAGAAGTATAGAACCAATTTTAAACCATTTTGGTAATATAGCATTATCATTGATGAGACAAGGGTAACAAATAGGATGAATAGCATGACCCCTGCCTCCCTTGCACCTGATGGGTTGGTTAACAACAATTTTCAAAAATCATCTTAAATCCTAGACATCTGGCACTGTTTGCATGATTATGAGCCATGAGTCCTTTACTAAAATTTTGAAATTCATGGCCCGTTCAGTCTCTGGGGTGGGGCTAAGTTGATATTTATCAAAAATACATTATATCTAGTTATGAAATTTTCTTTACTGACAATAGCATGAAAACTGTTAGTTGAAAATAGCTAGATTTACACCTTTTTTCAAAACTTATGAAAGTCATGCCCCCTGGTTCCATGGTTCAGACCTAAGGATGGAGCTTGATTGGTCATATATTGGAAATACATTACATTTTTGCTAATTTTTCCTCTGGGACACATATATAGTAGACGGACTGTTTGCATGATTATAATGAAAAATGAGATCTTTACACAAATTGTAAAATCCTTGTCCCCTGCCTGACACTATTGTTTAGCCCCTAGGGTAGTTTTATGTTAGTTATATTATGTACTGAAAATATATGGCATTGTTCAAAACCGTCTTTCCTATAAGACATATAGAGGGCAAACTGATTATATAATTACAATGAATAATTAATCCTTTACCAAAATTGTGAAATTAATTTTCCATGGGTCCAAGGTTCAGAACCCAGGTTGAGACTTAGTTGATCATGTATTGAAAATACATAACAGCTTTGAATATCTTCTATTTTCATGGATATTTAGCAAACAGTTTACATTTTTATTATAAACACTAGCCCTCCAACAGTGTAAATTTTTTGGCAAAATGATCTATTTGCTGCAACTCGTCTAACGTTTCCAGACTCTGTTCTCATGTTGCTTTTCTAGCATTTTGTATGTAATTTATGAGTTTTAATTTACAAGATTTGGTGGTAAAAATACCAAAAAACAGTGTCAACTAGTTGACATTATCAGTGATATATCGCATCTAATCACAATAAATATGAAAACGTACCTTGAACTTTTGGTAAATATGGACATGGATGTGATTTCCTATCGGTCGTCCGGGTACCTGCTTTGAATACACTCGAGTGATGTTGGTTATATAGGCTTTGATTACTGCAAAGGTAAAAATCATGTTCTAATGTATTGCTTTTTAATGTCGAGTTGCGACACCATATGGCAAAAGATGAAAAGGCGAAGTAACATTAACTGAGATGTCCTCACACTTCTTAAAAGCCTAGACGAATGTTCTTACGTTTTTTTTTTTAAATTATTATTATTATTATTCACGTGTACATGTGAATTCTGATTTTTTTCGTTTATGTCTAAGTATTCTGTTCTAAAATGTAATACTATTATATAAACTCTTGCTTTATGTAATTATAGATCTTGTCCTTTGTGATAAAAAAAATCATTCAATTTTGTATTCAGTTTCTCTTTTGAAGAAGGTTCGGCTATCTTGAAAATCGGGAAAGCAGATTTTTCAAGATTAAAATTTTAAATGTCATATAATTAACCAAAGTGCCTTTATGATATTTTGCTACAGAGATTCATTGTTACAAATGGTCTATTTTAACTAATAAATACAATGTTAGGATCATTTTACACCATTTCAACGATCTCAGCTGGCGTGTTTCACCTAATATTGAGTTTAGGTAGATGCCCTAAGCTTGTGGTTAGAACTGTGACAGGAAAAATGGTAGGACTTATTTCTAAAATTACTTGATATTAATGTTAGAAATATTGGTTTCACAAATAAGTTATGTGTATTTTCCTGTCATAAAAGTTATTGTCCTTAAAAGCAAGTACTAGTGCCTCTTACCAAATTCAACGAGTGAAACACGTTAAGCTTTTGCGATGATCGTTTGAAAGTTTAAGACAGATTAATATGGTATAATCCATCAACCCTTTAATATTTTTATCACACAGTCAGATGTTCTAGATCTCTTTTACCTATATCAGACTTGCAATACAACCACTGCGGGTGTTCAGGACCCGGGCATTTACAACATGATGTCGTCTCCATGTGGAGAACACAAAACAACGCCAACAGAACCACGGACTTTCTCCAATCCATACCTATACGAAAATATAAAAAAAAATGTCATAATAAACAACATTTTGGCCATCTTCAAAAAAAAAAATCTTTGTTTGCCCTCACTCGACCGACTAAAAATGGCCCCACTCAAACTTTTTTAAACCTCCAGGAAACAAATATTTTTTTTTATTATTCATACAGGAATTCACTCTTCCTGACAACAACTTTTAATTCTATTAAATTTCATTAAATTTGAAAATCCAGCATTATAATGTTTAAAGGATGACTGCACTTAAGGACATGCGGAATTTGCGACAAAGTAAACTTTCAAAACAAGCATTTTTCTTTTCATTGCAAGAATGGTCAACATCCAATCTACAACTTTATGTAATTACGTTTAATAAAAGTGTGTATTTACGAAGTTCAAATCTGTTTTCAAAGGCAGGGGTCATCACAATTTCTTGAATCTCCGTTTGATAATGAGGACGCCCACTTTTTTACTGACTTTATACATAGTCAGCGCATGTTTGTCTATTGTTCTACGTTTAACAGTAGTTGTATATTTGCATAAATAATAATGTGTTAAAAGGAGATTAATAGACAAACATGCGCTCATAATTAAAAAGAGAAAAAACTGCTTCTTCTTACATTCGCTCTCTGTGTTGTAACCAAGGATTGTGACATGTTGAATATTATAATTCACCACGTGATTTCTTACTTCAGGTAACTTTGTGAATACTAAATTCCGTCACGTGACTTGTAAAGGTAGCATGTTTTGTGTTAACTAGGACACTGTGTTCGAACACGTTAAGTCATCTGGCATTGATATAAAATCTGCTTTAATTACATTGACGTGCTCATATTGTTAATTTCGTTTTGAAACCTTTGTTAGAAGTGTATTTGTGCCATACAGAATGGAGAGGGAGACTGGAAAGAGTGATCACGTTCTTTTTTTTCAAACATGTCATTGTTATTTATCAAGTCTAATTTTAGACCCATTCTTACAATGTTAGCTCCACCTCTCATGCATATCTAATGTTCAATCAAGGGCAGGTAAGTGTAAATTCACTATATTTGGAAAGCAGTAAGGACAAAAAACATTGAATCATTTTATTGTATCACAGTCTAAAATCATTTTAAGATTTAAATGTGGTTCCAAATTGACAGTATTCTTTCATAAACACACAAAAGTGAGATAAGGTTTAGATATAAAAGCAAGAGAAGTAACCGAAAAAGACCCAAAAACAGGCGTTAAGTGCAGTCATCCTTTAAAAAAAAAAAAACCTACCTACCTACCTACCGACCCAATTATTCATCATGAGTTGGGAGAGGACAAACCTTTTTAAGGGCCTTACTATCCCATTTTTATAATGTTGTTTTGTGCATAGGCATCAAAAATTGAATCTCAGGCCATCATAATAATTATATGTTTGCCCTCTCCAGACTCAGGGTAAAAATATCGAGTCGGTACTACTCGGTAGGTAGGTGGGAAAATCTTTTTTTCAGAAAATGTTCAATATATTTGTTGACGGGAGGAATAAAAAGGAGGAATAAGAGGAATAAAGAGAAAAAATAATAGCATGTCCTGGAATGTAAAATAAAAAAAGTTTAGAGTCGGGCCATTTTTAGTCAGTCGGTCGGGAGAGGGCAACCAAAACTTTTTTGAAAGATGGCCTCTTGTACTGTCGAACTAAGATCCTATTTTCAAGTCTATGGTCAACAATTACACATCTAGTTAACAATTTTTATGTGTCTTGTGTATAACCTATTATATTTTCAGTATTCATAATGGAATTATTATATACAATTTTTTTTAAAGTTTAGAAATATACAAGTTCTTAAATACATTTCAAAATAGAACATATGTAATTATTTTTAAAATAATTATTCAAAATTTGAATACTTTTATCTATATAAAGCCAACAACCGATACTATTCAAGTCCACTCGTAATTTAAGAATGGCTGCCTGTAATACAAAAGTTCAGTGAAACCTTTAATAAAACTGACAAGTGAGTGTATCGTTCACTCCGCTGATAAGCGTGGGGTGGTCGAATAAAAAACGAATAGCTTTGGATCAAATTTCCGCCACACACAAGTTTTTCCGACAGTTTCAAGTGAATTTGAAATCTAAGGTTAATGACGCAGTTAATAGAATTGTATTTATCATGTATCTATTTGGTTCCTATGTCTCGAGAAAATGTTATGATATTAGGGACATTGTTTACACGTCGATATATACAGAAAAGATTGTTTTCGACTTATTAAGAATTAAGGGTGTTTGCTATGTTATATTATCTGGTTGTTAACTGAAATGCTTCCCTTTTGTATTCCTGTTGAAAGCATTGAATTCCTTAACACCAGGGTTTCCCAGAGGGTAACAAAATTAAGAGTGCTCATAGTTTAATTAGCCGTAATTATGAAAATAATGAATGAACTGTACGAGATATCGCACGCTAATATTCAAAGAATGTGTTTATTTTTGTTATAAGTTAAAAAAGGTTCGTTTATGATGACCTCTATTTCTACATCATTTCCTTTTTAAAGGAATATGTGAAGTTGGCAAAAATGCAAGTAAAATTTAACAATGGATAATTAAAAAGTAAAAGTACATCAGCAACGTGTTTGTTGTTTCTACTGTTTATCTGAAACAAATCATTTCCGTTAGGTCCGTTGGATTATACATGTATTTTGATTGATGAATGATGGGTAGACGATGCATAAAGCAGGACAGGAAAAAGACAGTCATAAAGATGATCATTCTAATTATCTTAAATAGAAATTTATTTAGACAGAAATTTATTTGGACAATAATTGATAATTTTTATAAATAATTTAGTATTTATCAATCATTCATTATCATTTTACAAGTTTCTTTTCTTAACATGCAATAATTAACTTACATTGTACTTATAAGGAGTGAAACAATTTTTTTATTGGCTTTCTCTGTCACGTATTGAGATTCTGGTCTGATTATATTTTCAAATGTTTCAAAAATCTCTTTATTTTAGCAAGATATAAAGCAATTATCAAATTTTTTTTTTTCCAAATTGGATAACAATAAATATTTACATTAGCAGCCCCCTTTCAATCCGAGCTTATATTGTGTGTTATTTTTTTCTCATTAATTCCATAAGAAAAATCAAAACATACACACTAGAACAATATTTGTTTTGTTTCTAAATAATATAATATAAATTATAATCTGCTTAATTTTTATTTCCTGAATTTTAAACCTTGGAATTTTTTTTCTTCTTTTTAACGTATTTCAAATGACTTACCTCTAACAAGTTAAATCCAATAAATAAAAATAATTGTTTTTGTTTTTTTCTTGAAATAGGGTCAAATTGTGTACCACGGATTTGCTCTCCGTGACATTAAGACCACAGTGCGTCCCCTTTCGATCTACGGGATAACGTATTAAATATCTGTAATTACATTTTAGTTAATAGACCCGACCGACTCATCACGGCATTCCTCGGATAGCTGAAACGCTCGTCAAAGATCGTAAAAAATCAAACTGCCGAGACCTTCAGGTGAAACATACACATTAAATTTAATTCTATTACCGAGTTATTTGTGAGATTTTAGCCCCAAGTATACCATTTTCTTGCCAAGTTTCAAACGCAGGGATTTCTAAACAAAACTTGAGAGGAATTACAGCTCCCAAATCAGCTATCGTGATTTACGATGTCAGGTCAAAGCGTCATTATTTTTTTTTCTAGAATAGTTTGTAACGTTCCGATGTTAGTATTTTTTCCTTAATTCAATTTTTTTGTCAATGTGCCGAGAATGTTCCTTCACTTAAAAAAAACAAAACAAAATGAGACAAGATGTGAAACCTAACAGGTGTAACGCATTAAACTTTGATATAATCTTAATCACCATGTAAACATCATGTATGCCATTCGGTCTGTATTTTAAGTGTAAAATGTTTATGTATTTGACACTATCCGATAATTTTAGAGAGCAGGTACTTCATTGTAAATGCTACATGTATCTATAGCAGAACATGATTTACGTATCTATTCAAAATTTTCAAAACTCTTAATGAGTTGACACCGACAATATCATCAGCGAGATTACATGCTATGTGTTGCTGCAATTACGTTTACATTTTACACATTTGAATGTTTTTTTAATTACATCCCGTGATGAATATGTTGCGTGAATATGTTGCGTGCATGCATGTATTTATACGGAGCAACCAGAAACTATCATCATATTTAACCCGTTTAAAACATTTTGAATTTTAAAACACAAAAACAACAGTTTTCAAGTTTTATTTACCTTTTGCTTGTAAATAGTTTGTGATATAGTAGCACACTTAGAAAATTTAAGTTCAATTTGAATAAATGTCTCTAAGCGAGTCCTAATATACTTTATGTCTATGCCTTCTAAAAACGAGAGGTATGAAAGTATATCAAGTTATTCTGAATAATTTGAATTCATTGTGTAAATTCTTTGGTTAGTCGATTTTTTACAAAATATAAACAGAGATTTTGATATATAAGCAGAGACCCTGTACCAGTTCATCATTTGAACCGAAAGGTTCGCATGTGATCGATGTGAATCAGATCGAAATATTCATTGGCATTATTTAAAGTTTATTTTGTGTTTGTTTGTTTCTTTTTTGGGGGGTGGGGTGGGGGGTTCACGGATATCAATTTGAGATTGTTAAAACATAAATTCGATTATATATATATATATATATATATATATATATATATATATATATATATATATATATATATATATATATATATATATATATATATATAACACTTGTAAAATTATGACATGATTCATTTGTAACCAACAAACACACACAAAAATGTGTTGTCACAGGGCATTGCCTACAAAAAGGATATCTACGTGTAATGAGCTGTAGTGAAACTTAGATGCAATCTTAAGATAAAAATATTCCTGTTGAATGGAGAATGTAGAGAAAAAATGCTTTCTTGTAACATTTCTAAACATTTTCTGCATTTTAGGGAAATCTTTGGTAAGAGAATGTAGATTTTGATAATGACTGTTCAACGGTGAAAAATCTAACTGATATAAGAGGAGAACCTTAGTTTTTATATGGTTTTACCAATCCTCTTTCTTTACTCCTCACGAAAATATTAATAGATGTGAAGGAGAAACTTCAGGAGTGCTTAACAACAACATATTCGAGGAGTTGTGTTAATCATGCGTGGATACTTTTGATACTGATCCCACCTCTGATGCTTTTAGAGGTCCATGCTTGCTCTGCTCCCGATTTGTATTGTTTCAATGGACTTTTGAGCTTGATTACTGTGTGTTATCTCCATATTTCATTATAAAAAACTCTGCGGATCTTTTATAAAATTTAGCACAATCAATAGCATTAGTAAAATTACCATATTTCAACACTTCATACAACCGTTTCACTCTAGGCTTTTTGACATCATAGACGACCGTTTCTTCAATGAAAATGGAACACGTAAATATTATTATCTTGTCACTGGTCCTCTGCAAACTTATTTTGTTAAAAGCCATTCTCATTCTTCGCACACATACTCGAAGGTTGATTTTAAAAATATACTCAAGTTCCTCATTCACAATATCTATCTAATCTTTGAACACCAGGTCTTCCAACAATCTGTTTGAATTCCAATGGGTACTTATTATGCCTCATTATTAGCAGACCTTTTTTGTATTGTTATCAAGCAGTATTTATTCAAAAACTCCTACACGAAAAGATAAAGTCTCTTTTTGTGGCCTTCATTAAGAATTCAGATATATTGATGACGTTTATTCAATTAACAGTATTCATTTTCATTCCTACGTTGATTCGATATATCCCATTAACTCGATATAAAAAGTCACAACAGAATTTGCACATCTGTTTCATGTATAAATGTTTTACTAGAAAAAACATTGATGTCAGACTGACAACTAAATTTAATGATAAATGTGAAGACTTCAACTGATCTATTAAACCATAATCACCTGAATATGGGGTTTATGTCTCTAAGTTGATTATTACACAAGAGCGCGTTCTACAACTAACTTCTAAACCGAGGCTATTGACAAATAAATTGATGATAGAAGGATATCAACCATCTCCTGTAAAGTCAACACTTCGCTAACTCTATGGTCGATACAATGAAACAACAGAATTGTTGGTTAAACCACTCAGTCTGCAGCTACAGGGAAAACGTTATAGATTTGATAACTGGTGATTCATTTGTTATAGTTCGTTTTCATTTAGTTTACTAATCATTATCCAGATAGGACCAAGGAAAATGTATCTGATCAATACGCAGGGTGTGATCGGTCGACAAGGGATGCTTACTCCTTCTAGGCACCTAACCAACCTTTAGAATTTCCAGGGGTCCGTGTTTTATTCCCTGTTCACAGATTTGTGAAGTTTGAAGTTTCTTTTAAAAATCGATCGCTGTTTTTTATATAATGATATGCAGGAACCCCTATTCATCCTTGTTGTACCTCAAGATATGAAAAGATAATTTCCTATATATCACAATGACTAACCCCAATTGATGCTTAGCTGTGATGCTGATCAAGAATCTAGATTTGAAATAAAACTGACTGTTCTCATGTTCAGGGTTATGTAGTATTATTTTTAATTTGATACGCAGGAGCATGTTCTGTGTACTATTAATATTCAAACCGAGGCAGACTACTGTAAAATCAGTTGATAATACAGGGGTATCGGCATCAAAATATCATTTAAATTCAAAATGGTTGTGCAAAATCAATGGTAGTTAAAATTACCTTGTATGAAAATACACGGTACGTTCATTGGGTCAAATGTATAAACTTTATGCCTTACTTGTGCAGCAATATACCTTCATCACCTGCATGCGGGGTATATATCTCTCAGTTGATTCGATACGCAAGAGCATGCTCTACGTATGTACAATTTCTAAAACGAGGTAAATTATTGACAAACAAGTTGATGAAACAAGAATATCAGCTATCTCGTTTAAAGTCATCATTTCGTAAGTTCTATGGTCGATACAATAACCTTGTCAGCAAATACAATTTATCATTGAGTCAAATGCTGACTGACGTTTTTCATACTAATTGTTAGGCCATTATTTACACACTGAATTGTCGACGGATTTTTCCGTTATTTCCCGATCAAGACAAGGAGCACACGGCGGGAGTGACCGGTCGGCAGGGGATGCTTACTCCTCCATGGCACCTGATTTCACCTCTGATGTTTGGGGGTCCGTGTTTGCTCTGCTCCTATTTAGTATTGTTTCATGTACTTTTGAGCTTGAATACTGTTCGTTATCTCCATATATTTCATTCATACAACTTTTTGGACCGTTGTTTACATTGTCTACGAGCTACTATTATTTTTTGAAAATAAAAAAGTAATGCATGTTTAGCTACTTAGTAACAAAATATCGTGTACAGGCCTTAGGACGGATCTATAAACTTCAATGCGTTTTAGAACATATCTAAGTGCTAGTTTTGTTATGTTGATCGACATATCCAAGCTTATCCTCCTTCTAGTAAGTGTTCGGCAGAAATACGAATGGCGGAGCCCTTCACAATTTGTCACAAATCTTGGTATCAATCACACTTTCCAATTATGTCAGCATTGATTAATGTGATTTTAACTGAGACACTTTCTGATGATAATTTATTTTCAATTAAATTTGTTTGAAATTCACTAAACAGGTTTTCAAAAGTGAAACAGAAATTGTGACGATATAACAGAGATTCGATATTTTTCTTCAAAATAAGTTTTTGACAAAAAAGGCATTACAAAACTTTTTTTTTAATTTTTAAATATGCATGTTAAAGGAGAATGATTTATCTTTTAGTAGTGAACGTTATTTGACTAATGGTGATGGAAACCACCAGAAAAGAAATCACAAACAACTATCTATCAGCAGGTCATTCCAACAGTAATATGTAAGTAAGAAATCAAAAATCATCTACAATAGGCATATTGACAATTGCATGTTGTTTTTCTTTTTACTTCATATATTTGATTTTCTTAATCTTTCCACTGTTATACTCAGCAACAAACAGATTGTCGTTTTTGTCAGTAGATAATCCCCATAGATCCTTCAGATCGCAATTATTTATACAACGTAGAAACTGTCCGTTTTCGTCAAGGATGTGGATACAGTGGTTATAGTTTGTTGTCAGAATGTGGTTCTGACTATCTGTTGTTATCCCAGAAGGTTCAAATCTATTTTTCTTTGGAGAAGAAGGATGACCAGTGTATCTAAATCGCAGTTTTCCGTTCTGGTTGACAACAACTACAGAGCCACCTTCCCAGTCAGCCACACATACATCAAAGTTTCTGTTCTCAGTAATGTGCTTAATGTTGTAATTTCCTGAATACAGAGGTTTACCCTCATCATCAAACTGGATTGTTTGTTTATCTTTGGAGCCTGAGTAACGGACAACTTTGGATTGTGTTTTATCATCACTGAACATGGTAACCAGGAGATCACCAGAGGAGGTGATACACAAATTTAGAGGTGTCCAGCCCTGTAATATGATCATCTTCTCTGTCTGTCCCTCCTTCACTTTATTCACAGTTCTGTATTTCCAGTCAGAGTACACTAGATCCCCATCATTTGTCACAGCTATATCACCTGGCATTTCCCCTGTTTTTGATTTGATTGTCTTGATTTGTGAGCCTTGAATACTAAAACATTTCATTTCATTGACTTGTGCACTTGTCCAGATTTCTTTTTCACTGAAACAGATAACACTTCGGAGGTTTTCATACCCAGTACTTATAGTAGTGATAAGTTCTGGTTCTTCCAGTAGTTCCCTTGTTGATGTCTCTGGTTTCTTCAGTTTGTAGCCATTTTCTTCTGTTGTGGTGGATAATAGTGTCAAAGACCCAAACAATTTGTAAAGCTGTTCTGTGTCTATCATCTTTGAACTTAACATTGGTAGTGATACTTGAACTTTTGGAGGAAGTTTGCTAAATTCCTTGGTTCGTGAGATGTATTCCATGGTCAGGGACACTTCATTTGAATCTTCAATTTTTTCAAGGTTAAGCTGTGATTGTTTAATAAGATACTGTATCTGCTTGATTTCTTCCAAATGCTCTTTTAGAATAATCCCATGCTTCGTTTTTATCTTTTCTATTTTAATTTTTAATTTCTCGACAATTGAGTCAATTTCTCTGTGCCATTCTTCTCCATATTTTATCAATGATGTTGTAAGATTTCCATATTCCCCATCTAAGTTAGCTATCTGAGTTTCTATTTCAGTTGCAATTTCTGCATACGTTGGAGAAATTGTATTTTCTAATACTTCAGCATCTTTTCCAATAACTTTCTTCTTTGCATAAAAGATTTCAGAAAGAATTGAAACGGTATGCCCTTTATGTGTATCAGATATAGTACACAAAGAACACACAAAGGTATTGCACGTTTTACAGTGAAATTCACAGCCTCTTGTTTGATGTGTTGTGCACTTTGGATAAATTAAAGTTGATTTTCTTTGTTGGAATGGGACCACTTTATGTTTGTCATAGTCATCAGAAATATGTTTTCCTATACAGGAAAAACACAGATTGGCATGACAGAAATCACAGTACATCTGTACTATAGCGTCCTCGCAAAGGTCACATCGGATGATATCTTGAGCACTCTTGCGGGGATCCATATTGAATCTAAAACGTTAGTGATATACATGTATCATTATCATGTAAGAATCTAATCTGATTATCTTTCCGATTTTAATGAATGTTGTCTGTAAAAACGAAAGTAATATAAATGAACTCGATAATTTATTTCATTTTCCCCTTAAATCATTTTTGTACTGATTAATTAGAGCATTAACATTATATTTAAGCTAGATTTTACGTTGCAGATATAGATTGTCATTATATGTCATTGTAGATTGACAAATGACACACCCAGGAACACCGAGGGCTACTTCAATTGTGCATTCTTAAGAAAAGATCTCGTGTAAATCTAGCTATATCAGTTACAAAATGTACATCTAGCAAAGGAAATAAACATGTAAAGCAGTACCTTCAAACAAGAAAAATTTAGTTTCTTTTCTGTGAAAATAAACATCCAGCAATGGTAGACCTTGTTATGTCGAGTATTGAGGAAATTATACAGGCTGGTGCCTATTAGAGTTACCTCTCTTGTGTTGTATGCCTTTACCTTAGAAACTGTAATCAAAGTACTGTGAGTACTTTGTTTTTATTTTAGTTTTATGGGTAGGTGTTTAATAATTCTCGTCGTGTCAAGCAATAGTTACCGTCAGTTTTATGGCATGTCAAACGTTGCAATATTTGATTTTTTCCATTTCTATTATATAATTTTCCATTTGTATTGTATATTTCTTATTTGTATTCTATAATTTTCCATTTGCATTCTATAATTTCCCATATGTATTTTATAATTTTTCATTTGCATTCTATAATTTCCCATTTGTATTCTATAATTTTCCATCTGTATTGTAAAATTTCCCATTTGAATTGTATATTTTTTTTATTTGTATTCTATCATTTCCATTTATATTGTAAAAAATTAATTCGTATTGTAATTTTTTATTTGTATTGTATAATTATAGCGAGCGCAGCGAGCGGCGCGAAGCGCCGCTCGCGAAGCGAGCTCAATAGACTAACGTGTAAGAACAGAGAAAATTCGGAATGAAATCTGTACATACGTCAGGCAAATTTTCTGGGGCAACATTCCCAGAATACGGAACTTTCGAGATACGCCGGAATCGTGGTTTACGGCTGACTTTTACACACAGCAGTCACGTGATAATAAGGAAATGTAGGGCATTGTAATGGCGAATGTTTACATCGCAACGAAATATTGAGCAGACGAAATTATTCGACGTCTGAAAAAAAGGAAGAACACAGATACTCCCAGCCACTACTGGTGTTCTTTGTCAGGGTGTGCAGCAGACGGGAGGCCAGTTGAGCCACTTATCCTTGGATGCAAGGCGTCCAATTTTAAGAGGAAACTCAAATTACGAAGGCAGCGGCCTCAGCAGGTCTTTCGAGATGAGGAGTTTTCCCCTAGACGATACCACTCCGTTTGTTCCCTACATTTTGTAGATGACTGTCCCACTGAAAACAATCCTATCCCTACCCTATTTAGTCGCTACAATTTCAAGATTCCAAAATAGAAACCACCTCCATTGAAAAACCTCAGCATGCATATGCGAGTACAACCGCTATGAATATACATGTATACCTCTACATCAACAGAGAAGAAGTGTGAAAAGGGTCAATGTAAAAAAAAAAACAGGGCCATCCAGGAAGCTGACTAGATTCGAAGAATTCTTGATCACACTCCTTAGAATTTGACTTGGTGTCAACACCTCTTTACTTGCTAACTTGTTTGGGGTAGCCGAGAGTCAGGTATACCAAATATTTAGCACATGGATTAATCTCATATATAGGGTGTGTTACTAAGAAATATTAGATTCAAACTGCAAGTTCACTAATTTGTCTAAGTTTCAAATAAAAATCTAAATATTGTTAATATTTTATGAATATATCTTAATTTTTTATTATATTACAAATCGTTTATTTCCTTAAATAAATTAATTACTGGTAATTGGTAAATATATTATATATATATATTTATTTATATAGATTCACAAATAATATAATTCACACAGAATATTAGTATTTTGACTTTGAAAAGTATTACTAAGTAACTGTATTTTATATAGGTATTTGGACCTCAAATTAAATGGCCTTCAAGAGCACAAGTATAAGGAAATTCATACCACACTCATTCAAGAATGCTTTTCCTTGGACAAGAGTTCAGAGTAGTCGACTGAACAGAGATGTTTGTTCAGCGGCCACGTACCCCTAGAGCACAGCATCAAACATACAATAACTATAAGAGCCATAACACATTAAAGTGCCTTGTTGGAATCACTCCCTCTTGTATCACCACTTGACAAACGAATAATGATCTATATATGATGCATGTAATTGTACTATCCAAAGATGTGTTCATGAATGCTCTATGATCATGAATAGTAGCTATGCACATAATATGACATCTGAAACAAGTGCTTACATGTAAATTAAATCAAAAGAATAAGATCTTTTTTATGTATCTGAATGTTCATTCCATAAAGGCATCTAAAACATACCAGACCTGGGGTCAATTACTTTAAATGTAATGCATTAAATTACAATTACTTCGAAATTTTTACCATTACAATTACCATTACCCTCATTTAGAAAAGTAATTAATTAAATTACAATTACTTTGTTTAAGTAATGAATTACATTACACATTACATTTTATAAGAGAAAAACACAAATTTTATGACCACACAATTTATATCTATACTTTTCACACTTTGTGCTTGGTTGATATGCTTTCCCTCATGTCTGTAAGTCAGAGTGGTATTTGGATTTTGTATTCATTTATCATGTCCATGTAGTTTACCAATCTACCATGATCTACAGTTGACAAAGAAAGTGGATCGGAACACTTTTAATGTTGCAGTTTTGTTCAGTCTCTGATGTTAGTTCCTCCGTTTTTTTTTTAAATAAATGTATTAATGTCACTTGTTTTGTGGCTTCTTTGAAACCCAATGATTTCTTCTTTTTTTTTCAAAACAATTCTGGCTTTCTTCAATTGATTTTATAACTGTCTTGTCAAGAAGTTTTCCATTAAAACAATTATTTACATGTAGTATGTCTGTCAATCACCACTGAATAAACATTTTTTTTTTTTAAAGTAAGATATAGGATTTTAATTTTAAGACTTTAACATTATAAATAAAAAAAAAATAACCTCTCAGTGACCTTTATTTGTTTCAGATTCAATAATGAAGAGAGATTTAAAACCAAAATGTAATTGAAAGGCAATGGTCATTACTGACATTTTTTTTTAAATTAATGCATAAACATTACAATTGTAATTGAAAGATGAGTCCATTACACATTACATCCAATTACTTTGAAAAAATGTAATGATTACAATGCATTTAATTACCATTACCCCAGGTCTGATACAAACTGTAATGTAAATATTGTATTTATTTATGAAAGAATTTAATCATATGATCATGATGATTGAAATATTTTATTGTTTGTTCCTAATTTATATTTATCAGTTCAGGTATTCTGCCATCAATAAATTATGAATATTAATGAATCCTGTACCTTAGACCAAAAGTGTTTTAAGTTTTTCCTCACTGTTATAATCAAGAATGCCATAAATTATTATGCATTACATGCTTATCTCATTTACAAATTTGTTGCTCTGCTATACTTAGAGAGACATAATTGCAACTTTCAAATGTTTGTCGAAGAGATATTCACATTTTTGTACTATTTCCTCAAATTTCAAAGGATCATAATGTATTTGCTCACAGAAAAATCCACATTTTGTGTAAAAACACAGGAGTTGAAACAATTTTTTTTCTTCAATTTCTTTAATAGAGTTGTTGTTCAAGGACTTGCATGGGTTGTTTATTGAATGGTGAGCGCTAACTTCAGGTTCTTCTCCTGTATAGTCCTGTAGTTTTATGTAATTGGCCAATACAAGATGAGATGACACGAGGCTTAAAAAATTGTCCCAAACACATGGAATATCTGTTCCGACTTGAGTGTGACAGTCTTTGTGCCTCTCACAGAATGAAGCCACAGCAAATATCGAAGCTGTACAGTGCTTACACGACCCATCATCTCTAAAATCAAGAGAACTTTTGTTCAAAGTGATGAAGTATTGAATATGAAATTCCATGACATGAATAGTGTATTGAGCAATTTACATAATCATAAATGCTTGTAGGCTGAGACAGGGCTCCCTCTGTGTATGTTTTTTTTATGAACAAAAAGCATTAGTATATCTTTATGAAATAACATTTTTGATAATTATTGCTTTAAATTCTACTGGAGAATCTGTAGTCATAATGTGAAAACCAGAATATTTACACTACATCCACCTGAGTGAATCTGTTCATTGCCCTCAACAAATATCCAGGTCTTGTACGGATCTGCATCTGGCTAGTCTCAGGAACTGTGTCACACTTGATGTACTGAAAATCATCAGACAGGGGGGACACTTTCACTTTATCAACGTGGTTGTTTTAGTCTGTATCCATTGTCTTGTCTCTGTCTATGTTTTCAACCGAGAATAACGTACTCCAGCCATCGTTCAAAAGTTTTATGAAAACATCGGAAATCTCAATGTTCGGCAGTTTTATGAGATCTTCAGACCACCTATCAACACTTGTTATATTTCGGAAAACTTTATCTCCAACAGTTTGACATCACCACCCTGTAGGCCTAATCATCTGCCACTTCTGAATTTCAACTCCCAGTTCACAAAGTCTTATCAAATGATGATTTTAATATATTGAAAAAGCTATTCCTTTAAAGGATAAAAGGTCTTTCAGCATAGGCACTTGCCAAGAATTGAAATTATAGTCGTAATCGCAGTCTGTATCTAATGACGTAGTGTTTCTTGCTAAAAATTAAAGTGGAGAATTGAGAGCTCAAAAGCTATTTTTTACTTTCCTTTCTGCACCCAATAATCAATGTAAAATGATATACCATTGGTTGCTTTGTAAAATGCAAGTTAGTCACATGATAACCATACCTACCAAAAGTAGCTATCTGTGATCTACGGGAGGTAATCCAATAAGAGTAATAAAAAATATTACCGTAAG